TCGTTTTGTAATACCAGCAAACCTTATGTTGATAGAATTTTCAAGTTGTGTACACATTTTTTTCAGACATTGAATATTTGGTTTTATATTCTTTAAATGATCGATAATATGAACAATGGATGGTACCACAAGACTAGCAGTGACAATCGATTCGGATTGAATACGACAAGTTATATCAGCAAACGGTTCTAATATGTCAATTGCTTCTTGTAATACAATAAAATCATTATTATTAAATTTTAAATCACTATCATCAATGAGATTCGTAATGTCATCAACCGTTGCTTTTCCTAATGCAATAAGCGACTTGATAAGTAAGTATTCAGAATTCCATCTTGTTATATTTGAGCGAGTTATTGTCTTTCCAACATCCTCGAGAATTTCTGCTACTTTAGTTGACTTGTGTGATCGTCGAGCTAACTTGATACATTTTGATAATGATTTTGATAAGTAAGGGGCATCTTTTAATCCATCTCGAATAGACAATTGAAGAGTATGTGCAAAACATGACATACGTATTGCGGTATCATCATCTTTATCAATGGAATCTTTGCTACTATTACACCAATCAATTAAAGTCCATTCATTCGACACTTTAAGATCATCATCAATGATAAAATCCAATGAAATATCACCTTCTTGTTGATTATTATTATCTTGAGAAACATGTTCATCATTTTCCACCACATTCAGGCCAAATTTGTATGCTTTTATCATGTTAGCTGCGTTGTCTGTCACAATACGAAATACTTTTTCCTTGATCTATATTAAAAACTGGTTGTAATAGTGATGATTACAGTATCGCATTTTCTTGACTCATACAAAAGGGTGAGTGAGGGTTTAAAATATGGGTGCGACAGTTTTTCATCAACACGCACAATTACTTATACCGATACCACATTCACACCTTCACTCACCCCATTCACGCTCGTACTTTCATCCACCTATCCGCTCATTCACTCACTTCCTCACCCTCACTTAGTCCACCCTCGCCCACTCCCTCACCTCAACCACACCCTCCTTCATCTTCACTCGCACACAAGAGCTATGAAAAACACTCATATACACTTTCTTTTCCTTAGAAAACGTTAGAGCATTTTCGATTTGCATAGACTGAATGATACTTCACCCAACCGCCCCTCCCCACCGATACCCTTAGTTGTACCAACTCCTCTCGATCTCTCTCTGAACCTAGGGGGTACCATGGAAAGTTTGGTGATCGTACCTATTACAGGGACTGAATACATAGCGAATAGACAAGCAAACATTTTTCTTTATATATATATATATAGATAGATGAGTTAATGATATTAAATATTCTTACCTCTAATTTATCCAGTATTTGTTCTGTAACATTATGAATATTTTCTCCAGTATGTGCACCTTTAAAGCGTATGAAATCCAAAAGAAGAGCTTGTGGAACGCTATGTGAGTCAAGAAAATGACCCGTAATACCGATGTAGGATCTTCCTCGTTTGTCTGTCCACGCATCGATTGTAATCGTTAAATATTTCACGTTACTAAGTATATTTTTTATTTTATCTTGTGTATTTTTCATCAACGATGGTAATAATGTTTTGGTGTAATAACGAGACGACGCAGGTTTCCATTTTGGAGCAAGTATTTTTAGAAAATTTCTAAAACCACGGGATTCAGCTATTGACAGTGGTAAATTGCATTTCACAATTAGTTCTTCAAGAATAGCTTGGTTGATTTTGTCGTTGTTATTTGTCGAATTTTCCAAAATATCGTTTGTATCTTTAATAGGTGTAGTGGAATTTGAAGATTTTGCTTTATCATATAGATCATTGTGTACACGTTTGAGATGTTTATGAAAATTGCCAGTTGAACCAACTTGATCCGTATAACTTTTACTACAATTTTTACATTTACCAGATACCTTTCCATCTTTAGGAGCGGCGAATTCAAAAAAATCTTTGAGAAAATTCATACGAAGTTGTTGCAGTGTTACCGTAGGAAGTAGGAGGAGATGATAGTATGGAAGCTTAATGATAGTTTGTTCATTTAAGAAAAAAACGCGAGTATTTATAGGACAAGAAATAGCTACTTTGATTATTCCCATCTCTCGTAATACAACATATTCTAGGGAAAATACATAAGCGATATCCTTTTGTTCATCATTTGGAAATAGCATAATCGAAATATAAATCAGAAAAACAAAAGAAGAACGCATTAATATAACGAAGGGAAAATACCATATGATTATATATTTGACAGAAAAGGAAAAAATCCGACATGATCATATATAAAGAAAAGAAGGAAAATACCATACAGATATATATGTGAAAAAAAAGAAGAAAATACTATATGATCTTATACGTGAAAGAGTAGCAAACGAATATTCTAAATGTTCGCTTATATAGGTGTAGATAATAATAAGTAACATAGAAGAAAACATTACTTTCTAATCTTTTGCTGTCTTAAGATGAAGTATTTATATAAACGAAAAAAACTACAATCATAGTAGATGTATAGAAAAAAATTAGCGTAATGTTTCACTTTGATCACACCAATAGATTATAATATAAAGATGTAAGGACGGGTCTAATATGGAATTATTATGTAAACAATATTATTTGATATCATTTACTCATCTCGTTACACAATATTTTTTGCGTGCGCTATATTTATTCAAACTATTATAATTACGAACACAATCATTAAATAATATTAAATAAAACACGCTGTAAACTATCAGTGCATTACAATAATCAGATACGCTAATCTTATTTTGAAAATATATATTATATTGATCTCTCATGTACAAGTATCAAGTACTCTTCTTAAAGTACAAGTACAAGTACCAAGTACTCCTCTTCAAGTACAAGTACAAGT